CGACGAGTCCCTACTCCCGTGCGTCACTGTGATTTCAAGCTGGGTTGGTTTCGAAGAACACAAAGATGGTGTTACTTGAGATTGGGGTGTTAAGGCAACCCCATAACAAGAGCAAGTCAAACCGCGAAGCTGACTAGCCAACCTTCCGTCCATAGCATACATATGGATTGCTCCGAGTGAGCTTTATTCTTTGTCACTCTTCCTATTCCAGCTATTCTCCCCTCTTAGGCCTCACTCTGTTCGTTCCTGATTGTCATCAACTATGTATCCACGATGATAATGAAGAAATAAGCTTTTGCTAGTCAATCCAGATGAGCAGAACTGCAACCACCACCATTCGCCTTAGAGCGGCGTTCCATCCACTCTCTACAAACTGCACCCCATCCCGTTCATTCGTTCTATAGGCACATACAACTAACCAGACTCCTATTGCCCTTAGATTCTTCGTTCTGCTTTTCTTTTCTGGAAGAGCTAGTTTTTTGCTACTTCAACGTCTTCATACCCCCGAGTGGAAAAAACAACAGATCGTGCATAGTAACCAATCACTGATTCGTCTCCAGTGTTCTGTATCCTGTGCGTTCGCGCGCACATGCATCCAAGCTCTGTAGGGAAGTGCGTAGCGTTGACTCCCTTTCTATAGCACATTTATGTACACGTACACTCTGGTGGATATATGCACACACACATATACATCCGGTTAGCGCAGTAGTCTAATAATTAGTTATTTTGATTCCTGGTCACGATGAATAGTTTCACAGTCAACTTTGTGCAGGTAACGTATGCTTGTGTGGGAGCACTCAAGCACGCTGTTTGGAGGCAACATACGTATTAGGTCGCTCGTAATCTTTTTGTTGCCGATGTCTCATGCACACGACATACAGATACCCTGAACACGTTTCTCTGGAAATGTATTCCTGTTATATTTTCTGTTGCTTTTGTCTCCCATTTTTAACTTGAAACAAAGGCCCACACACAAACGTTTCATTCTACTATCTATTCGCAGCACCAAAGATCCATTTACCTTCGTCCCCCTCAACTCCAGGCCCTGTATCTTTTCATCAAACTGTCGTCCCAGAATCGTTGTTTGCTGTACGCTCTCATAACTTTTTTGATTGATCCCCTCCTTTTGACCACCACTGATTAGCTCGTATTTATGGAAGCGATCAAAATTGTTTCGCCCTATTCGGTTTGCTGACAATCAATCGTGCATCCAATTAGCAGTACTGCCTTAGTCTAAATGAATGCTTTCAGTCAGATCTACTTGTTCCTTTACTTGTTTTTGCCTCGAATATTCAATCGATCGGGTGATCACACGCAAACACGATCATTATTTTGCCTCTTTCTTACCCGTTCCGTTCCGTGTATTGTGTTCGCGTGTCGTCCCGGACGCCTTTCTGCTATCCTATTGGATGAAACTAGAACGACCGAGGACGTTTATTTTTTTGCATCGGACAGTTATTTTTCTCTCCTCTTTTGCTCTTGGTGTCCCATCCCCACGTGAAATCGTTTCTGTCCCCCCTTCTCCCAATCCACAGTTGCAGCCGTTGTATCCTGTCTCGGTCATCACTCATTTGGAAACTGTCGGCCGTCGGAGGAGTTGTCTCTCACTCCGTGCGCATTACTCTCCCCTGGCCACATATTGTTGGTTCAGTTCCAGTCTCCGGCACTTCATTACGGTAAAATATTCGTGTTGCGCTCCTACCGAACTATTGTTGTCCTCTGCACCCGACTGGGTACGAGCGTGTGAGAAGACTGGTATCAGCGCGCCACGTTTGGAATGGTTTATGTTGAGACGGAAGCTCTTGCCTCTCGATCCGCAATTATGTCTGGGTTGCCTGCCTGTGTTTATGTTGTTCTTCAATCCCAAAATAATGTCATTTCAGCCTCACATGTTCCTCACTCACTGTTGGCTGTGATCTGTACCGAGCGCCTGTCTCCCACCCGTTTGCAAACCTACATGCCACCGTCCGACCACTATTCCCTCGTTCGTCTTACTTTATCTACAGGTGCTTACACACTCGAAGACGGATAATTGCAGCAGATCTGGCCCTATAATGAAGTGTTTTGAGATGACATCCATGTGTGAATCTGTCTGACACTCTCCGCACTGGGTGTAATTTGGTCTCGTTGCGTCTGTCCCACCCACCGTATCCTCACTTGCCCTCTTTAGGTCTGTCTGGACTGTCCAAAACCCGATCAGCTATCTGCCAATCTCAGTCCGCCTATGGCCCGAATAACCGTGCTGCTTTGATCCAACTCTTCTTTTCCCCACCCCGGTACATTCAAGTGGATAAAAAACCAACAAGAGTTAAAACTATGTCGTGGATTTGACAGAGAAATATGTGGACTATCTATACATCTTTACTTTTGCTTTCTTTGTTCGTTGCCAAGTTTTTATTGAGTTTCTCGATATCAGAGAGGGGAAGATTATATACGTCCACTCTTCAGTAATTGAATGTTCAACTGAATTCTACTGTCTGGTGGTGGTTGTTACGTTTGTATTTCAAACCGTGTAACCTCGGACCCGTAGCCCGCTGGCAGAGTAGAACAACCGTACGCATGGTAGGATAGGTTTATTATGACTCATTCACAGTCAGTCCTGTCAAGCATATGATCAACAAAGCAGCAATGGAACTAACAGCCAATCAGGACCGGACCCATGTCGACCGGCGGTATCGGCATGAACAAGTAGGTGAGGTCGATCGATCTGAATATCAATCGATAACATCTGTGAAACGAGCAAATTAACGATGCGCATGTTGGCAGAAAGTGCACACTTGAGCCGCAGGTGCGTGCGCAACAATGGTAGCGGATTTTCTCACTTTTGGTTGAACGGCGATGACAATAAGATTTTAAAAAATGAAACTCATTCAAATATAAATTCGTCTCTATTGCCGAACGCAAACCACATTGATAATACACAACTCGTAATAATACGCTTTAAAGCAGAACTTTAGTGGATTTAGTTCTGTTATAGAAAACTATTCGTACCGCTAAAACAGAGTATTTGGAACTCATCAAATTGTTAGCTCCACCTTTCTCATTAACAGTTCGAACGTCGAATTCAGGGCCTCATTAACAAGAAGACTGATTTGTTTGTTGGTGAATACGTGATTTGCTTTGATACAG